CGCCGTCGCCGTCGCCGTCGTCGCCGTCGTCGCCGTCGTCGCCGTCGTCGTCGTCGTCGTCGTCGTCGCCGTCGTCGTCGTCGTCGCCGTCGTCGTCGTCGTCGTCGTCGTCGCCGTCGTCGCCGTCGCCGTCGTCGCCGTCGCCGTCGTCGTCGCCGCCGCCGCCGCCGCCGCCGTCGGCCGAGGCCTCCGCCGCCGCCGCCGCCGCCGCCGGCCGGGGCCTCGAGCACCCCGGCCAGGAGCCCCGCGTCGAAGGACCCGTCCGCGTCCACGAGCACGGCGGGCAGGCCGTGGCCGCCCCGCTCCGTGCGCGCCACGTAGGCCTTTTTCGGGGGGGGCGCGCTCCTCGCCCTCCTGGCTCCCTGCCCTCGCCCTCGGCGCTCTTCCAGCGCCCTCCTCCTCGCCCTCCTCCTCGCCCTCCTCGCCCTCCTCCTCGCCCTCCCCTCGCCCTCCCCTCGCCCTCGTCGCCCCTCTCGCGCCCTCCTCCTCGCCCTCCTCCTCGCCCTCCTCCTCGCCCTTCTCGCCCTCGCCCTCCTCGCCTTGGCCGGGAGGCCCCTGTCCGCAGCCGCGCCCTCGCGGCCTGGATTCGGGGCCGCCTTCCCCCCCCCCGCCCCTCCGTAAAAATCCTGGCGTCTCCATTCGTTCGAGCCGTGCGTTTCCGCAGGATGTTGGTCCCTGGGGGCCTTCACCGATCGATGCGGCTCGAACAACTGCGGAGAAAGACAGGGTCTGAGACCCTTCTTGATTTTTCACCATGCTGCATTGGTTTCGCGACGTCGGATCTCAAGGCCCTGTCCCCCCAGCCACGCTCGCGTCGTGAACAAAAAATCCCACGACGGGAAGATTTTGGCACATTTCGGCCTGCTGGGAGCCGTGGGCTGGGCCCGGGGACGGGCAGAACAGAATTCGGGGTGAAACGCCGCCCCTGGGGAAGGGCTCGGCGCTTCCGGGGGCTCCGCATGGACAACATCGGTCAAGACATTCCATGTCCGGGGAGGGTCCCAGGGCAATCGCCCATCAATCGGGCACGCAGCAGAAACTGGGTTTACGGCTCTGGTCGACATTTCCGTTGCGATATACATATATACACATTTATGTATGTATGTAGTTATATATATATGTATATATGCATGATCTCTATATACAAAGTAGTGTGTGTATATACAGATATACTATACACCTGTATGCACATGCATATACACTCATAACAATACATGTATATGCACACAAGACTGCATTGGCGCTTCGCGCCATGCACCTTGGTCATTGAGATTTGGCATGCTGGCGGAATGGCAGGAAGGTCGAACAGACAATTCAGCGATAACTCCTTTTTTTCCGGTATCGCCGTTATAATACTGTTATTCGTTGTCCGTCCTCCATGTTTCTTTTTCCTCATTATCGCCCTACCCTGCGAGCTCTTCCCCATCCTCCTCAACTCTTTCTGCGGGGGCCCCTCCTTGAAGAGCCACTGGGGGCCTCACGGAAATTTTTCAAGCTCTCTTATGGCATTCTGGATGTCTCCTGGGCGTCTTCTGGGGGCTTCCTTGGGCCACCCTGCCTCCAAGCGCGGTTTCCCTGAAAGACCGGGTCACGAGTTGGAATGCTTCGGAGGGTGTCTTGGGGCCATCTTGGGCCGTCATGGGGCTCTCTTAGGCCATCTTGCAACCCTCTTGTGCCGTCTTGGGGCTCTCTCGGGCTGCCTGGAAGCCATTTCGGACGCCCAGAAAACCGAAGAACACGGCATCCTCCAGATCATGCAAAAACCTTTGAACATCAATGCTTTTTCTTCGTTTTGGGAGCTTCTTGAGGGTCTTCTTTGGGTCGTCTTCGGGCGTCTGGTGGGTGTCTGGGGCCTCTTGGGGCCCTCGGGGGGCGTTCGGCCGCCCTCCTGACCGATTTGGGCCCGTTGCCTAGGCCCAGCAAGGGTTCTTAGGAGCTCTGAAACACGCCTTGGGGGCTTCCTGCAGGGGCGTCCAGAGAGGTTCCCAAGGCCACGGATCTGGGGTGTCCAGAGGGTCCCGACGGCCCGGGATTCGGGGGGTCCTCTTTCGGGGGGGGGGGGGACGGTCCGGGTAAGTAAGTATATGTGTATATATATATATATACATAGATGTCTCTCTCTATATATATGTGTATGTATCTATATATATATATATATATATATTTCAGGGGAAGCGTCGTGGCACGTAGTTCGCAATATCGTGGTAATGGTGGTCGCGGTCGTCGTGGTGCACTCGGATTCGAATTAGTAGGTAGCGGGGAGGCGCGCGGAAACACGGAGGAGAGAAACATGTGAGGAGGAAAAAAAGGAGGAGGAGGAGGGGGAGGAGGAGAAGGAGGAAGAGGAGGAGGAGAGGGATGAGGAGGACGAGGAGGAAAACGAGGAGGAAAGCGAGGAGGAGGAGGAAGAGGAGGTAGAGGAGGAGGAGGAAGAGGAGGGGGAGGAGGGGGAGGAGGAGGAGGAAAAGGAACATGAGGAGCATGAGGAAAACGATGGTGATGGTGATGGTGATGGTGATGGTGATGGTGATGATGATGATGATGATGATGATGATGATGATGATGATGACGATGACGAGGATGATGATGATGATGATGATGATGATGATAAGGAGGAGGAAGATGAGGAGGAGGAGGAGGAGGAGGAGGAGGAGGAGGAGGACGAGGGGGAGGAGGAGAAAGAGGAGGAGGAAACGAAAACGAGGAGGAGAAAGGAGGATCCCTCCGCACTCGGCGCAACCGACCGTTTCTGGGCGGTCGGCGCGGCGGGCGCGCGCGAGGGCCCCCGGGCGTGCTCGGGGCCGCCGCGCGCGCGGGCCGCGCGGCACCGCTCAGACGGACGAGGGGGTCTGGTCGCCGAAGTTGGCGATGCAGCCGGGCCCATGCTCGAGGCCCTTGCGCAGTGACAAGGTTTCGGCAGGCGGCCGCGAGTTGAGTTGACCACGCAGAGCGGCCAACGAACAGGAAGGAAACGGCCAGGCGGTCGCCAGCAGCGGCGTAGAAGGCAACTGCGCGTTCGCGCGAGTGCAGGGAGGGTGGGTAAGACTGGCGAGGCGACGGCAGCCTGCAGTTAGCGCTCCGCGCTGGAGGTTTGGCGCCCCCGCCCCCGCCAGAAGACGCGAGAAACGCATTCCGTGCCCATGTGATAATGAATCGCCCGTGAACCCCGCATGCAGGCAGACGCGAGATTCAATCCTGAGGCCGCTGTGGCAAGCGGGGCGCCCGGAGCCGAACGCAAGTGGCCCCACCGAGTACGGAAGCCCCTCTGCCCGAAGAGCGCGAGCGGATCGGCGGGGCACAAATGGTGAATCACCTGTTGCATCAGCCTCGCCGCAGATCTATCCGAGCAAGCGGGCATGCTGGGCGGATGGGTTCGGCGGGTCTTCGGCGCAAGTGTGGGGAGGAAGGCGTCGCCGCTGGATCCAAGGCAGCGAAAAGTCACGACGACGAGCCGCCAAGAGCCCCTCAAGTTAAGGAACATGGTGGAATCCAGGAGCAGCAGCGCCGCGCCAGTGGCCAATCCCCGAGTAGACTGACAACAAACATTGCGCACAGTTGTGCGCGGGGCAGCGGAGGGCGGAGCATGGGGGGCTCGGCCAACTGCCGCTGCAAGGCGACGCCCTGGGCCACCGACAGGAGGCGCGCCAGTGAGGGCGCGCGGGCCGGATGCCCAGGGTAGCGCGCCGCTGCGGTGCAATGCGGCAGGTGCGATGCGCGAGTGCTCCACGAGCCGGAGCCCGAAGGCATGAATCGAATTCGATCGCCGATCGAGGCAGGCATCAGCAAGGTGAACATCGAGCGCGAAGAGGGCGCGCGGGGCGTCGGGGCGCCGGGGCGGGCTAGGCTGTGCCCGAGACCCGACGCCGCGGGGGCGGTCGCCGCGGCGGCTGGCGCGGCCTCAGCAAACGCAGAGGCCGCGCGCGCGCCGCAGGGGCAGCCCAGGGGCAGCGCCTGCGCCGCTCTTCCTCGCCGCCAGGCTCGCGGCGACGTGCGCCGCCCATTCCCGCCGCGGGGCGAGTGCGCAGGGGGCCGCTCCGCCCTGCCGTCGAGCCCGACGCCTGACAAGCCGCGTCGCGGGCGACGCGCCCAGCGGCAGCCTCGACCTCCGATGGGGGGCGGGCCGCCGCCGTCGAGCCCGACCCAGTCGAGCGGCTCGCGGGCCCTTCCACCCCTCGGCGAGGGTCGACGCCGCCAGGGCGGCCTCCCGGCGCCAAACCGAGGGCGGCCGCTTGAGGGCGCGCCGCGGGAGCCGCGCGCCCGAATCCGCGGCGCCGCTCCTGCGTTTCCCCAGTAGCTCCCCGCGTCGCGGGTGGAGGGGCCCGCCCTCCGAAGTCGCGTGCCGCGAGGCCCCAGTCCGACGCCGCGGGCGGCTCCCTGCTCGAGGGCGGCGAAGAGCTCTCCGCTATTTCTCCATCGGTCCGTGCAGACGACGGCGCTCGCTGGGGGCAGCCAGTCGGGCCCCTCCACTGGGCGCACGCCTCCTGTTTGAAACCAGCGCCAGTGCTGCTGGAGGGCTTCGTTGAGGCAGACTGGGTCCGAGAGGTCGTCCGCCTCGTCGGGCCCGTCCGGTGCGAGCCAACGAAGCCGAGACTGGGCGCCCTAGAACAAAACGCCCCGCCCGGGCGGCCAGCGGACGAAGGGCATCGTCTCGCCGGCCACCTCCGCGCGCCAGCCCGCCGTCGTGGAAGCTCCCTCAGGTCGCGCCGACCCCTCGCGGAGAGACAGAATCGTGCCGGAATGGCGAGCGGCGTGGGCCGTGGCCGCCGGCGAAAGCGATGCCGTGACGGGAGGCCGGGGTTCGGCGCCAGCGGTGGGCGGGGCCCGGCAGCGCAGTCGCGGCTGCGGGCGCGCGGCAGCTGGGGGGGGGGGCGCGGGCGCCACCTCGCAAGAAAGCGCCGCGGTCGCCGTCGGCGAGGTCGCCGCGCGGGTAGGCGCTGTGCCCGCCCGACGACGGCGACGTCGCTGGAGGCGTGCCAACCAGCGGGGTGCAGGTGCGACCT